TTTTTACAAAGTCATTTATTTAGAACATTCAGAAATGTTTTCATGAATGTTAGCTTGTCAAAGTAAACTAAAGCTAGCTGTCACGTTGTCTTGTCTTAAAAAAAACAACTTTCTCTCCTCCTGGCCACACCTCCTCGCTCACCCCCCTCCCCTCCCCCCACTTCAGGCCGTGCCCCTCAGAGTCTCCACTTTGTAGGCATTTTTCACATTTGCCTTGAGGCGGAGTTATCCTTTCACGGGGGGGGGGGGTTCCCACTTTAAAAGCTATGGATGCATCACATCATAGCCTGACGAATGTGGAAATGAAACAAACTGAGTTCAGCCAAGATTTACAGCTCTATTAAGAATCGCATTGGCGTAGAGTCCTTGAAGTGTGCTGACGTCAGAGGAGGCTCTTTTATTTATAGGTGTTCACAAGTTTTACAAATAATGTTTTAATCTGGCTTTCAAACTGTTCTGTGAAGAAAACCAGTTGGTGAAGRATATAAACGATGCTTTGTCACTTATTAGATCAATATTTACTTCTTTTAAAGAAAGGAATATGGCCCTTTTTGAGCACATCTGGAGCATCGCCCTAACAGTTCAGTTTGTAGATCAGAACGCACATGGTTGTAGTTTGCTTTTGGASAGAGCCCAGAGAAAGTACAGCTGCAGAGACGCACTATTTATGTTGTTGGTCTGATAGCTGAAGCTTGAACCAATTGGTTCATGAAACACGACTGATCCCAAACCTAGCAGCAAATCCACAACCGAATAATTAAAAAAAGAAAAAGAAAAATGGAAAGCCCTGTCTGTCATCATCACCTCACAGAAATGCTGTGGCAGGACCTTAAAGTAGCTGAGCAGAAGCAAACATTTTCAAATGTCAAACAGCTGAAGCAACGTTGTAAAGAAGAAAGAAGTGGGCTGAAACTCCTCCACAACCATGTGAGAGACTAATGAAGTCTAATAAAAAAGTACCACTGCTTCTAAATCACAAGGTGGATTTATTTGTGTTTAATAAACAATGTCATAGTGGAAACTTTCATGCGTTTTTGTACTCTTGAGGTTCGATTCGAGTAATTTTAGAACTTGAAATTGTGGGGCGGCTGTGGTAGAGTGGTTAGGGGAGTTGGCCTGGAACCGGAAGGTCGCTGGTTCGATTCCCGTCCAGTCAACTCAGTCGTTGTGTCCTTGGGCAAGACACCTTACCCACCTTGCCTACTGATGGTGGTCAGAGGGTCTGATGGCGCCTGTGTATGGCAGCCTCGCCTCTGTCAGTGTGCCCCAGGGCAGCTGTGGCTACAATTGTAGTTTGCCATCATCAGTGTGTGAATGTGTGTGTGCATGGGTGAATGTCTGCAGTGTGAAGTGCTTTGAGTGTCCCTGATGGATAGAAAGGTGCTATATAAGTACAGTCCATTTACCATTTACCAAAAGCAGATAATGTGTTTTATCCTGTCCTGAAATAGAAAGTCTTCAAATTAAAAACAGGTTGATTTCCTTACTGTCATCTGTTTACAATTACAAAACCCTGCAATAGTAAATTTACCAACAACTTGCTTTGTTCTGACTGTTTGGAAAAGCTTAAAAGCATTCTTGATTCTAATTACCGCAACTATGCAGAGGAMGCTTAGCTGTAGCAGCTATAAAAACGTGTCAGCTTTTAAACCATATGGGTGATGGTCTGCTGCGATGCATGAGGTCTTGTTTAACAGCACTTGGACCGCTTAGTGGGTTTGTCTCAATCAAACTTGAGGCCATAAAAAGGGGTTCTATTCATAAAAGTGGAGAATGTGTGCATCTGAAACTAGATGTTTGCTTTCTCTTTTTATTGAGCACACATTGGACTCAGTGACAAYAGCTCTTCTTCAAATGTGGTAGGGSTTGAAATGACAAAAAATTTGGATCAATTCACGTCRTGTTGAGTGAATACAAGGAATTAACTTGTTTTGTAGTGAAACTTCTGTCTCCCACTGGTTCTCTCTCATTACTTGTTTTGGCAACAATCAGCTGCTGTTTTCTCCTTSATGCTGGAGTTGTAGAGTAGTTTCTTTGCAACGCAGGCCAGGCTTATTCAAGTGCAGGGTTCTCTCTGTCAGCCATCTGGGGTTTTTTTAAAGAAAAAGAAAAAAGGACTTGTTTTTTTGAAAAACAGATTATGAACCGTTATGTTTTCTGATTTTAACCGAAAATGGAAAAACGCATGATGACCAGTCGATTGCGATTTTGTAATTTCTTTTTTAGACAAGTGCCATGACCCGGGCGTTCTCGCTGCCCTAAATGTGATGTGTAGAGGCATTGGTGTGCACACGTTCAAAACGGTGTAGCAGTCATTTGATCATATTTACACACAGAAAACCTTATCCTTTTTATTTATTTATTTATTTATTTATTTATTTATTTTACAAAATACACAACAACAGAGAAAAGTGTGAGAGATGGGTGCCGCAGTCCATTTACATCAGTGTAATGTATGGAGACGTTATAGTGCTTTTATTGTGAAAGGACAATGGAACTTTTGGGTTTTCTTGCTTCACTCCCCTTTTTTTTCTGCCTACAGATTCTTCCAAACAGCTTTCTCACTGTTTTGCGGCAGTGTTGTCTTATTTTCATGTAAAGCATTCACCTCTTCAAGACAAAATCTTCATTTCCAACACTACYATTTTCTGGAAGTTTACTAAAATCCTCTGTGGAGGAGGGAGACATCTTGTAGGCTCAGATGTCCTCACCTATCAGCAGTCGACTTATCGGAGTGCTCTTGTCCCACTGCTGCTTCTTTGACTGTAGTCTAAAACAAAATCAAAAAGGTTCCGTACACTGTGTTCCAGTCACGTCGGGGTCACCACTTTGTAAGAAAATGTTCAAATTGGAAACCCAAGTAATACGCAGAAAACCGATTAAGTTCTCAGTCGAATATTATGTTTTAGATCTAAAGACTCCATTTCCCTCCCTGAGCCACAATATTCATAATAGCCCAGTCACACCCCTGGGGGGTGGTCCCTTTTATGTTATCATTGGAATGCAGTCAATTTAAACAATTATTCTTACAATGCGGGAGTGAGGCACATATTAAGTAGAGACTTGATGATTTTCTTACTGTTTAAAGTAAATGACTAAAACTGATCACAACTATCTAAAATTAAGTTAATCAGTCACAAAATATCCTTCAATCCAATACCAAGTAAATACAGGGCTAGTATTGCTGAGACCAATGCATGTCATGTTTATTGAATAATTATATGATTTTGTCTTTAGTTAGTCGAATATGATTAAACTAACTATGATTAAAAAGGACAAACATTTTAAATAAAAATGGTAGAGCTGTCGCCTCTCAGGAAGAAGGTAGATCAAAGTTGTAGACATTTTGGTCTAACTTTTGAAACAGTAAAACAGTATCATGAGACGCCTCGCTCGGTTTGTTATAATGACTGTTATAACGAATTTTAGCTGTGTTTGCAAAACTCACTGAGTTATAGCTAATTTTGTGTTTTTCAACTGTTTGTAGCAGCCATATTGAATCATCACTATTTCTCAAACATACATACCACCTTTTGCCTTTGTGATAAGCAGGTTTGATTTTCCTGGTGTTTCGAAAATATGTAAATAATGCTGAAAATGTACCATTTACTTTTTTCCAAAACTAGTCTAACTAAGCTGTTTTTTAACCCATTGTGATGTTCTAAACATTAAACTTGCGGTGTCCTGATACCAGCATTTTTACAAATACTTATACTTGTACAAAATGCCCCATACTTAGGAACAATACCATTATTGGTAC